TGCTGAACCTAAAACTACTGTCTGAATCAAGTGAGAGTGGTACCTGGCAGTCTGACTTTCCTGCAAGACTGCAGGATTCTCATCTTGTTTGGACAATTCAGAGCCTAGATTGCCAAGAGGATGAAAAGGATGGAAATAATGAGCCAGGTATCAGAAACTCGCCCAGCCTTGGAAAGGCTGGAGAATAGAAGGAGGGGAGAAATACTGTGGTGACAAATACAGATATAAAAAATAGGGATTAAAAAAAGGATTAAAATGAAAACCTGTACTACATAAGATTTATTAAAATATTAATAAATTTTAAAACAATAAAATAAAATGTAAGAATTCTAATTTTAAAATACTTACAAAGTACATATAAAATAAGGATATCTTTTACTTGAAGTGGGTTTAACTACTTCGAGGGGGAGAGGAACCCCCTTCCAGTGAGTCTTCTCACTGGTCTCCCTGGAGTCCTCTTCTCCAGGCTGAACAACCCCAGCTCTCTCAGCCTTTCCTCATAGGAGGTGTTTCCGGGAAGCCCATCTGCCTACGGGGCCTCTGACGGTAAGAGGGAAGCCGTCAGGAGTGGAGTCACCTGCCACAGGGTGACCGCCTCCTGCTCCTCACCCCTGAGGCACAACTAGCACACCATGAGCCCCACGTGAGGCCAGACTGGGCAAGCCGGTCCCTGGCCGTGTGCCTGCAGCCTGGGGAGCCCACACATGCTCAGCCTGCCCTGGAGGGGGAGAAGGGGGCACGGTGATGACCAGGAGCAGCTAGCTCCTGGAGGGTGACAGGGAATGGTCTGCACCCTGCAGGGAATATCTGTAGGCAAATCACAGCTATTCCTGTCTGCTGCACTGGCAGTTGCAAGCTGCTGTGCCCAGCCAGACTGAAATCTCCTGCCTGGTGGAGGGGACACTGTCAGCTCCACCAGGAACACCCATGGGCAGCACCCACCTCTGCCAAGAGGCAAAACAGCCCCATCAGCATGACTGCCCATATCAACTGCCCCAGGTCTTTGTCTTCTGCAGACTGACGCTAGGCAAGGATGAGCTGCCCACAAAGGGATCTGCTGGGACAAAGTGCTGACAGTTTGTGACAACTCTTGGTGTGCCAGAGCCACAGCGGGTGGCAGGGGGGCTGACCCGGAGGGGCAGTAAGGGATGACCTGGCAGGCCAGCTAGGTATAGCCTTAAGGATGTCCATTTACATGAGATGTTTTGTTTGGCACTGGATCATGGAGGTCAGGCCAGTAACTGTTCCCAGTGACTGTTGTCCTCTTTGCCTTCCCCAGCTGAGGGAGCCATCAGCTAGTGTGGTTAGTTGAATATTATCAGTAATCTGGAAGAAACTATACTCTTAGAAACTTCAGAAATGATCTGTAGGTGCATAGGATTCCCCAAATTGTTTTCAAATCAGCATTTGTACCTACATGGAACTTGTTAATATTTGCTGGTATTTTAATTTTATAGAAGTAGAGAGTGTGACAAAATACGCAGAAGCCAAGAAATACTTACAGCAGAGCTCCTGTTTGAGGGACTCCACTGATGGTGCATTTCAGTTTGGTTCAATACATGTCCCTTGACCAGCTCTGCTCTCTTTGGTTTCAGAACATGCGCATAAGATGTCTGAGTGGAGACACGTACTACAGCAAAGCAGGCAAGAAATTTGCAGGCCAAGTTCTGGAGAAGTTTATCCTGATTGATTGCGACCAAGTTCTTGCTGGTACATACAGGTAATTAAATATACTGACTACTGTGACAAAGACTGGTGACACTGAGAAAATACTGATTACCAAAATACTGAATAATGCAGCTTTTGTTTTCTTTTCTCCATGATAATGGTACACTGGTTTTCCTGTTCATTTTCCCGTATAAATGTAAGGTTTCATTTTGATGCTTTACCTTCTTCTACTCCGTCCTCTTGCTTTTACCTTGCAGTTTAGCTTTCAGGTAGCATTAACTGCTTGTCTGCCAGCACTGACATTTCCCAGACATCTCTGTCTGTGAGTACTGCTTCATTTCTTAAAGATGTAAAAAGTGCTCTGCCAGGTCAGATTCAGGCCTAGATTCTGTCTCTTGCTGATGCTTTTAGGAAGAGCAGCCCAAAATGCTATGTGTGGTCCATCCCTCTTGTCCTCCTACAGCATGTGTAACCATTGCATACATCCCTACTTATTCCCTTCAGTACCTGTTCTGTTCCTGTTGTATGTGATTTTGTCCTAACTCATTATCTGTTCTAAACCAATCTCCTACTAATTTAATGAAGTGCCCCTAGTTCTAGAGCTGCAGATTGGTAAAAGAGCTGTCCTACATTCAGCTAAGTGATCGCTTTCACAGTTTTCCAAGCCTCCATCTTGTCCACTCTCATTGCCTTTTTCTTACCTAAAGTGAAGACCTTGGCCTTTTTGGTCTCTCCTCAGCAGCTGCATCCCTCAGCCATTTTAATTGCCTTTCTCTGCACCCTCTCTAACCTCGCTATGTCCTTCTTGAGGTGCAGAGACCAGAACTGCATTCAAGCCCCCACGGTATAGCTACACCAGGGTGTCACAGAGCATCCAGATAGTGCTCTCTGCTTTGTTAGTATCACTCTTGCTGACAGTGGCCAACACTCAGTGAATGTTTTAGCTGCTATTGCACATTGAGCTGATGATTCTGAGTTCCTTCCTTAGCTGTTCCAAGTTCAGAATCTGTCCTGGTTTTGGCTGAGAGAGAGTTAATTTCCTTCCTAGTAGCTGGTGCAGTGCTGTGTTTTGGCTTTAGTCTGAGAACAGTGCTGATGACACACTGATGTTTGAGTTGTTGCTCAGTACCACTAACGCTGATCAAGGACTTTCAGTCTCATGCTCTGC